CTTGCGTATTCCTTCTGATTGGTGCACGGCATCGTTGAATTGTTGCCACGAAATTTATTCCACCTACGGGATACTTACACTTACATGCTTACTTACTTACTTACCTACATACGTATGTAGGTATTTCCCCTATTCCCTTCTTCTTCTTCTTCTTTTTCTTCTTCTTTTTCTTCTTCTTATTCTTACCATCAAAGACGTCTTTCTTCCTGCGAAATCGGCTTTACGATATTACGTCATCGTTGCACCTTCTATGCAATATCATTCCCCTCCCCCCATCTCTTTCGTAGCTTTTTCATTTTAAACCTTTGAAACTTTCTTTCCTATACTCACATATATGTGTGTGTAAGTATACGTATTTTCGCGGATCCTTGAAAATAATTTGCATCATCGCGAATAAATTACTTGGAGATACATTTTATGTTAATTTTCTCTTTCATTTTGTTTTCTTTCTTATTCTTTTCAATTCTATTTCTTTTTATTTTTTGTTTTTGTTTTTTCGTCGACTCTTTCAAATAAAGCCTCGAATATTTTCTTCTGTTTCCTCCCTGTTGCGTGCCGGACACCACCCTAAGTCCACTTGTACCAATACATTTTACAACATTCTTCTTTCAAAATTATCTAGGGTATAGTTTGGTAGGTACTATCTTACTAGATCGATTACTAGACGTTTTATTATGCGAAAATAAGTAGACTTATACGAGCAGAGAAAGAGAGATCCTTAGAAATGTTTCGACAGGCAACCCTGTTATTGACTAGTCGGACTGGCGCCTTATTTACAATGGTTTAAAATGTATGCGATAAGAAGTGCTTTCCTTACTCAAAATAAGAACAAGTATACTCATCTATATATGTATGTATGTATGTATATCTGAAAAGTCGACCATGCTATAAAGGCAGGCAAGCTTTTTCAAAATTTCTCAACTTTCCGCGGAAAATGTCCTTCGAATAAAAGTTTTATTCTTTTGTAAACTTTTTATCGAACTATGGGTGGTAGTCCCCCGAGTGAACAATATGGAACGACAAAACTATTTTTTAACTTTGTACATGCGTTTTATTATTAAACAAAACTCCACGTAAGAATTTTTATAGACAAAATCCCAAATTATTTTCTTCGAAATTTGTTTAACCTTTATAAAAGGAAAAATACAAAATATATATTATATAGTAAATAATATTTCATTATTATAGATTTTTATTAATACATATATAATATATAAATTATTATATTATATATATTTAAGAAAGGTAAAAATAAATAAATATTCTTGAGAATAGTAGAACCGTGAACGTGGGGATTCATTCTACGCGTAAACATTACTCGGAAAAATTGTATTTCTTTTTATATATTTTTTTCTCGACTTATTTTTATACGTAGAATCACCAATGCGAATAAAACTCTATGTATACGTGTATATATTTTATTTTGTTTTTCTTGTCTTTTTAATTACCGAAGCATTTCGCATGGGAAGTTTAATTCAAAGAAATATGCGCAAAGAGTGAGAGAGAAGTACATGGATAGAAAGGAAGACAAAAAAAAACAGAATAAAGATAAAATTTAATCAAACGAGTTCGATACGGCGTATAAATAAAATGGTGAACTCGAAGCGAACGTTCAATTCGGAATAAATTATTGCGCGTATAGATACGATCGATCGATCATCGATCGATAACTAYAATCGTGTACAAAAGGACGTATAATAGCGATACAAATTACAAACGAGTAATAGCAAGCGAGTAAATTCTATGGCGGTGATGATAAAAGCGAGGATAAACGATTATATCTATCTTACTACCCCTTCTCATTTTCATTCTCTTATTTTCTTTCTTTTTTTTTCTATTTTGTCCTCACGCTCAAGAACGATAAAATACATTATTGATTTTTAATTGGCACAATTGTGCAAAGCAAATATTTTTACTCCCATTCCCTTCCCCTACCCTCTAGGTCGACCATGCGCACCACAGGGCCAATGCATTTTAAGTAGCACAAATTAAAAGAGAGAAAGAAAGAGACAAATAGAAAAAATTATAAAATGAAAGGAAAAATAAAATACAACGAAAAATGAGCAAATAATCAAATGATTATGATCTCAAGGTAATCAAATTATCTTTCGCATCCTTAATCTTAACTATATATTTTTATGAAAATAAAAACTAAAAGAAGGAAAAAGAGATTTTTATTTTACCATTCAGTTGTTGAAAAAATCTCGAATTCCCATTTCGAGATTTTCTCTCTGTAGAAATAACATAGAAGATCGAGTGAACGGATAAATCTCTGGCTCAATGCACGAATCCTAAAGAACCGGTCATTTTCTTTCGTCTTATCTTCACATAGATATTCTTCATCTCGTCGTTTCTTTTATCGCTAAACATTAAACGTATCCCGACACGATACGATCAAATGACCAATTTTTTTCCCCTACATTTTTAAATTAAAATTCTTAATTCAACGTAATACATTTCTATCTTTTATTCGACTTTACGACTATTATACTTTCTAACATTTTTGTTCTATTTATTATCTAAATACTTTTGTGTTATAATCGTTGATAAGTTTAGTAATAATGTTTGTACAACTGGTAAAAAAATTCTATATCGTTTACAAATTGTTAGCGTTGCACTAATTATTCATCAATTGTTTTAACATTTGCATTTATATTTTTTATCGAATTTTATTCACGTACATAATATATTTCAATAATAAAATTCACAACCGTAATCGTTCAGAAATTTTTGATAAATTTAATATTAATACTTGAACAACTGGTAAGGAAATTTTCAATATCATTGAAAAATATTTAACATTGCAAATTATTAATTTAATAATTAATTTATTTAATAAATTGTTAAATATTTAGCAATGGTAAATATTTAAATATATATAATAAATTAATAACTAACTAATTATAACACACACACATAATAAATTATTCATTTATTTTTTTTAACACTAGCAACAATTAATACCTTGTATCGAATTATATTAAAATAATCGAATCGGTATTATACATAATTTGCTTATTTTTTTATTTATTTGCTATCAACGATGATCGCTACATCAGTAAGAAATATACGTGAAATGTAAGAGAAGCGTGAAGAAATAAAAAGGAGAAGAAAAAAAAGGATTAATACGTCTTATGTATATCTCATTGAAAGGGTCCTCAGTAAAAACTAGATATACGATCTCAACCGATCTCGTTCTTGCATCAAGCTTTAAGTATACACTCGTTCAACGTTACACGACTCGTATTGAAATACATGCAATCTTAGTTTCGTCTCGAGAGATCCTTTTGAAGAAGAACGTGATAGAGAGCACACTCCTCCTATCTCTTTCTCTTTCTCTTTTTACATTTCTCTTTCTATCCTTTAAACGAAAAGAAAAGTAAGATCGGATTCGATGCGATTTCTCATAGGCCTTTAACCCCCTGATTGCGGAACACTCTAACTATAAGTTTATAGGAATAGCTTAGGACAAAATACTTTTTTCCCGTAATATAAATTTTGTCAACGTTTTGTTCTATTATATAAAAAATTAAGAATTAAAATTGTTCATTTAAAGCTTTTTGTTTTGAAAAAAAAATAAGTTACAAAAATTTGTCGAATATTCGTGAACAATCGAGTGTATATACAAGAAAACATTTGTGGACACATAAATGCGCCTAAAATAGACACTTATAGTCTTACTAGCAATCAAAGGTTTAAATTACCGAACTGACTTTCTTCTTCTTATGTTAAACCATTTGAAACTTGGATGAAAATGTTTTCTAATTGTATATCGACCGAGAAATATTAACCTCAAATCCAGATGGAAAGGGTTGCGTAATGCATTAGATGTTTGCATTTTCATTAGATCGTTAGATCGTTCGACGTCTAACGGAAACACCGACATTAGCCGATAATACAGAAACTAATATTATTACTTAGCGGTGAATAATAGGTATCGACGCTTTCCTGTGTTCAGCTCGTGCTCGAGAAAGCACATTTATGCTAGAAAGCTATTTTAACGTCGACTAACTCAGAACACGTTTATATACACACATATACATACATACACACATTAGTCCAAAGTTTGAAATCCCTTCGTAAATTCAGAGATACTAAATATTTATATAAAAAACAAAATGAATATATTATTAGAGTGGTCTTGTAACTTTTTCGATTCACCAAGCCCCTTATGAATGTAGAAATATTTTATGAAACCCTTTTTTTCATAAACAAAAAAACTTTAATATTCACAAAAATTTTGTGATATATTAATATAACGTACATAATACAACCGAAATAATAATTCGTGGAACCTCAAGGTTCCATTGAACGTAGAATTTAGAGAATTTAGTGAATTTAGAATAACTTAAGTAGATTTATTCATTAACAACCCTTATCAGTAATATGTTTAACATTTTCTATTACCTTTTTCTTTTTAATCAACGAGCGAATATATTTCTTCGAATTTAATCGTAAGATTAAAAGAATAAAATTGGAAATACTGTAAGATACGAAATAGAAAGCAAAGTATACTCCTATTAATTATAGGATAGAAACGAGTCTCATGGGATTCATTGAAATCGTATATAAGCTTAATTATAATCCAAAGGGGGATATGATATTAGCTTCGTTATGATTTAAAAGCTATTTAAATAATCGTCATAATTATTACCCCTTTTATTATCTATATCTATGCAATAAAACCTTAAGGGATTCGAATGTTTAATCTTTTATTATGGAATCTTCTATTTATTGAATCGATATTTTCATTCAATGGTCAGTATTATTAATAACATATTGTTTAAAAAACTAATAATATTTCAAATAAATAGATGATCAATAATTATAATAAAATATCAGTATGATCCTTGCATTATCAATTTTTAACTTTTACATATAACCTTTACGTAATTCTACTTCAATTACAAATCAACAAAAAACAAATGATTATTTAAAAAATAAATTATTTATTTTACAAAATAGTAACTACATAAATCTAAGTATACATATTTTATTATTCAGCACATTTATTCACAAAACTACCCCTAATTATTAACCGCATCGTTTGACTATTATTATTTTAAATAGGAAGTGAAGGAAAAGAAAGAAAAAAAATGTACTCAAAAAAAGAAGAAAAAAGAAAAAAAACGGGTTGAATAACGATCGTCGTCGTTGGTAATACCAGAGTCGAATTTTAATTTTTTCGGATAACACAGAAAAAAAAAGAGAGAGATAGATAGAAAAAGTGGACAGGGGTCGAGGAATAAAAGAGCGTGAAAATCGGTGTCGAGCGATTTAAAGCACGAACGCTGCGAATTCTTGCTACAACGATTACCTCTTCCTCTCATTTCTCCTCCCCCTACCCTTTACTTTTCTCCCTCTATCTTCCTCTTTCTCTCATGATCGTTTAATCCGACGATATCGTAGAATTATTCGCGACAATGGAACTGGACCTAGAGAGGTACGGTTCGTCGTCAGCAGCACTAACAGTAGTAACAGTCGAGGACGACGACGACGAACGACGATGACGACGACGATGAGGATGAGGACAACGTTGGCGGCCAATTCAAATCGCTACAATAACGAGAACGCAAGTCCTCTCTCGCACGTTTTCATGGTGAATAGCCATACCAAGAGAGGRTGGTAGTAGTAGTAGTAGTCTCCTTCCTCAGTCCTCCCTCTCCTCCCTCCTCCTCTTCTACCCCCTTTTCGCATAGCGCATAGCTGGGATGATCGCGTTCACCCTCTTCCCTTCTACATCCCATCCACCCTTATACGAGCCAGCCAGCCAGTCAGCCAACCAGTCAGCCAACCAGCCAACCAACCAACCAACCAGCCAGCTAGGCAACCAGGCAGCCTGGTTATTTATTAGGGCGAAGGCTCGTGCTTGCTAGCGCTTCCTACGCTGTCTCGAGCTCATAAATCGACCCTTTAACGCACTTTTATCCTCATCCCCGTCAATTTGACGCGATCCGATTCTGTATTTAAACTATCTCTTTCTCTCTCTCTCTTTCTCTCTCTCTTTCTCTCTCTCTCTTTTTTTTACATTCCTTTCGTACTCTTTTTCATGCACTCTTGCCCTGTGTCTTTTTGGCTTCTTTTGACTTCTTTTGGGATAGTTGGTTTGGTATTTACTGAAATAATTGGCACGAATATTAATGAAAGAAACTGTAATTGGAATTTTATTTTATATTGAGGATAATTAAGAATATTATTTTTTTCGTTGTTGTACTTACAATTAGGATTGAAATCTGGCGAGCGAATTTAGATTGTAGGGTAGTTGATTGTTCAGTAAATGTAGACTCATCAGCGTTGAGTGTACATTGCGTGGTTATTCGGATGACTAGAATTTAGTTCTATTCTGGGGATAAAATACAATTATTGATTTTCACTTGAAAATAAATATATTTTTGTTCACTGATTAAATGGTACTTGTTTGACAAATACTGTTTGGCTTTATTGTACAACATTAAGTTTATCTAATGAATGGGGAAAATGTTAATTATTCTGAAAAGTTTTATGAATAATTAAGAACGAACTCTACTTTTTTTCACATTGTCGTTTACATTGTTACTCAAATCACCGAACAATTAGATTAACGTAACAAAATTATTAAAAGTTAGGTAAACCGGTTAGTCAACCAAGCCACGAGCTGATTAGTCAGCTTCCTCTCTGTGTGATGTCGCACTTGTTTTACTTGCTTTGTTCTCAAATGGAATAGTCTGTGCTATACCACGAACCTAAACCTACTCGTTATGTTGTTACCATTAGGTATATTAGTTTATAAGTATTCACTTGCTTTTTCGTTTACCGCTTACTTCCATTTATATATCATCCTAATTATAATATTTATTATTAAAATCAAAAATTCTAATATTATTAAGTTACCCATAATATTCGATTAATATTTGTACCAAGCATACAATTATTCAGTATAAATTTTTTTAAACAATTTAATACACCTAATATTAAATTACCCCCGAAAAAAAATTCATGTCAATTTTTTTGAAAAAAAATATTAATTGATAGGAACATTTCGAGTAATCAATTCAAAATTTGCTATAACAAATACTTTTCTTTCATCAAACTTCTTCTTGTATAAACGATCAAAAATTATGTTTTCTGTGGGATTGAGATCTTGAAAAAAAAGAACAGTCCGTTAAAATATATACAAGAAAAAATATTTATTTTCAATGAGAGAGAAAGAAAAACAAGCAATACTCTTGGAAACATCGTCCGCAAGATAGCGCCAAACACGATTGAACGAACTATAGCGCGGTTCGCCGTCCCAGACCGGAAATAGACTCTGTAACCGGAGAACTTATTTCTGAAAATATGGCGCCGTCCGTGCGTACTACCTATTTTTAACATCATTGCAGTTAAAGAATCATCCCCCACCATTTTCCCTTTATTCTCCCTCTCCTTCTCTCTTTCTCTCTTTCTCTTTCTCTATTTAATTCCTCAGCCTCTCTCGCACTAGAAACAAACACACTACCCACACGTTCTATATTTTCTCCCCCCTTTTTTTATTTCTTTCGTATTTTCATCTTTCTTCTATCTCTCTCTCTCTCTCTCTCTCTCTCTCTCTCTCTCTCTCTTTCAATCGTTCTTAAAAATTCTCTTTCTATCTCAAACCACGTTCATTCGTTTATTCATTCGTACGTACATTCGTTCGTTCCTCACAAAAGGGTAACTGTCCAATAAAATCATTAGCCGTTTAATGAGACCGCATTAAAATTCCACTCGCATATCCCCATGCGATACTTTCTCTCTCTTTCTCTCTCTCTTTCTCTCTCTCTTTCCTAACAATTTCCCTTAGAACGAAATAACTATCTTCGCGATTCGAATAAACGAAATGCGTTTCGTTTCGTTTTTATGTCCTGAATAAAGTTTTTCTCACGTAATTTTTCCTTCTCTTAACGTTCTTATTACAAATGAAAAGAAAAAGTGTATAGGAAACAAAAAAAAAAAGAAAAAACAATAAGGCACACAAGAAAGTTGGAAAGTAAAGAAGAAAGAAGAAAATGATCACACAAGAAAAAAAACTCTCTCTCTCTCTCTCTCTCTCTCTCTCTCTCTTTCTCTTTTTGATCGAAGCTTTTACTAAAGGTGGTGACCACATGGCGGTCTCTCTTACGTTATATACCCATAAATAGAGGACGAAGAAAAGAACTCGAGGAGCATGTGGACGTTGAACGATGGCTCAACCGTTCTCAACGGAATACGTAGAAGGGATCTATTTTTGGCGGCTAGTTGCCGATCCCAGGAATATCTTTTCTCTCCTCTCTCTCTTTCTTTCTCTTCCTTTCTCTCTTTCTTTCTCTCTTTCTCTTTCTCTTTCGTTCGTTTACCCTCTCTCTCTCTCATATTTATTTTCTCAATTTCTTTTCCTCCTTTCCTTTCCCGCCCCTGAAAAAAATGTGAATTTTCCACGACGATTTTCACATCTTTCATCTTCTTATCATACAATTTATCTTGACTGCAACATAAATGTATATTAGATGCATATGTTTGCACAATCAGTATAAATATTTTCGATCGATCTCACTTACACACTTTTCGTTTCCGAACAGGTCGAAGGATCAACAATTTTTGATCCCTTTTGAATTTTTCTTTGCTATTTCTTTTATCTTTTGTTTTGTTTATTATTTTCTATTCTTTCTCAATTTGATATTTTTCCTTCGTAGATTCGCAGAATATCTCGTCGGCGCACCTGAGCGCGGCTCCATACTTCTTTACATTCCATACGTCACATTCACTATGGGAAGTAAGGAAGCACGGAACAGACGCCCCGGTTGGTCCAACGTTGATCTCAACCGGATATTATAATAGGATTTCTTATTATTTTTGATTTTTCTTCTTCTTATAAATCGCTTGACAGTACGATTATCTCTATAGATCTATCTTCTTCTTTATATTTAGACATATTTTATATTTTCATATTAGAAGATTCTTATTATTATATTAAACACTAGAGATCATACCAAAACCGCATCCTCAATCGATTATTTTATTTATCCTTCGCACCTTCTTCATTTGATCAATTCAATTTTTCTTTCTATCGTCGCACTTGTTTCGTTCTAACCGTGAAGATAAATAAAAGAAAGTAAAGAAGAAGAGAAAGAAGAAGATGATGATAATGATGATGATGATAATGAAGTATACCCTCTCTCTCTCTCTTTCTCTCTCTCTCTCTCTCTCTCTTTCTTTCTTTATTTCTATCTCAAAACTGATGTGATCTTGGCAAATCGAAATAAGAAGATCCTTGATTGAGATTCCGTTAACTAACAGAGGAAGAAGAATGTGAGATCCGAATGGTTGGTAACGTTTGAGTAGTCAGAAGTTCTGATGGATCCTCTTGCTCGAATGCTTGCCTCAGACTGAATGCTGCCAAAGCTTTGAGCACGATTGCTTCAACGAGCCCTCTAAAAATGGCCGCACTGATCCCATTGGCCTCTCCTTCTTTTGCGACTGACACCTTCCCCCCTCATTACTGCCAGCCTCGACCCCCCCTGACCACCCTCCCTCCTTGAACCCCCTAACCCCTTCCCACATACAAGTCATATGTAAGCTTACACTTGAGACTAACACGAGGCTTACTTTCTGCTCCCTCGCGTAGTGCCTCGCGCCAAATTTGTCTTTACCCGAAAATAGTCAGTCCCACGGCTGCCACCACATGGCGACTATTCCTGGTTCGGACTCGAGTGATAACTTAACCGGCCTTTTCGTCTTCGTCTTTCTTCGATACCTCTTCCTTTTCCTATACTCTTATTCTTTTTTATTTTCCTTCTATTTCTATATTTTCCACGTTTCACATTTTTTATTTTTCTTACATTTTTTGTGTTTCTTGATGACAACAAGAAACCCTCTGGAGTATAAAGAATAATAACGTCTATTCGATGGTGTATTATTCTTTCTTATACCCCTATCAATGTTTTTATTTGCAATAATATTTGTTACTATTCTTTATTTGTTTTTTTTTTTTTACTATTTAATCTGTATTTTCATATACGTTGAGAATTTTTTATTTTCCTGGTTTTTTTTCTTTTCTTTTTCTTTACTTACACTTTTTTTATTTTCTGAATCACCACGAAGATTCTTGAAGTATCGAGTATGACAACATCGGTGTTTTTATTCGCGATATAATATTCGTTAGGGGTTATTTTTTTGGTTTGTCTAAATCTATTACGAGGGATCATAAATTGTGGGGTAGACGTAAGAGCATGGCTGTTATTCGCAACAGATCATAAATTTTGAATATAAGATATATTTTCAAGTAGTTTTCCAAAACGCTATTAACCTTTGACAATCATCGATGTATACTTTTATAATGGTACTATATATTTTCTACTCTTAGAATTCTCTTTGAAAATAGTTGATTTCAATTTAAAAATTCTTCTTCTTTGTTATTTCTATTTGAAAAATACCTATCACGTTTCAAAGGAAAAATTTATTAAATGCTACGAAATAAACTAAAGTATGTAATATTAAATAACTATTTTCTTCCTACCGGTATGTAAAACGTTGTGTATATATGTATATAAATAATACAATGTATATGACTATGCAATGAAGTCTTAAGGGGATAGGTATGTTAGTTAATACTAATTTGTAAGCTAATAAGCTTCGTCGGATTACACACTTTAATACAAGTCAGGTTATTTCCCGGTTAAGTTCTAAGTCTCCTACGATTATCGTCAAGACTGAAGGCACCTGTGTGTTTGAAATTTAAGCTCGATTCAAGGACGCATTTACCAATTAATCGATCTATTTTCTATTCGTTCAATCAATCGTTAAATATAAACAATTTTTTTTTATGACGTTCAATCGATAGAAATTTTCTTCATAAAAAAATTTACTTCCTTCTTCTTTCGATTTTATTTCTTCGTTTTGTCTTTTTTAGTACCGATACTTAAATAAACCGAAAGGTGTATTTCTGTTAGTATATTTTGTTTCACGAATTACAATGACTCTTCTCAAAGTTTAAAATAAACTTATAAATAATTCAAACTTTGTGTACTAATTTAATTTTTGTTTCTTACTTCGATTTTACTTTATTCTTTTATTACCGGATTCTCGGATAAAGTATTCGTTCATTATCTCCATCCTTCTTTCTTTCTTTCTCGCGAATTACAACGTCGTCTCGGGATTAAAAATAAATTGATAAGGTTTTCACATTTTTATCAATACTTGGATAAATTGGAAGAGTACTAGTTCTCTCTTTTTCTCACTCTTTCTTTCGCAAATTACAACAAAGTTAAATATAAACTTATAAGGACTTCAAATTTTGAACAAACAATTTGTTTTTTTTTTTATTTTGTCCTTTCGTCAATTAAATTTTCTTTCGTTTAAATTTTTCTTGGATTATTTTTTGTTTTTTACCGATACTCGAGTAAATGGAAGAATACTAGCTCTTTCTTTCTCTCTCTCTCTCTCTCTCTCTCTCTCTCTCTCTCCACTTTTCTCTTAAGAATTTTTTTTCTCTTTCTCTCTTTCACTCTCGCGAATTACAACGACATTTCCAGGTTTAAAATAACTCCCACCCGGAGACTATGCATTCGCAAGTTGGCGCGTTCCGGTGAGCCGTGCGAAATGCGAGTCTACGCGTTAATACGTTCACTATTTTTAGGACGTTGTCGTCTTCGTCGTCGTAGTCCTCGTAGTCATTTTCTTCTTCTTCTCCTCTTCTTCTTCTTCTTCTTCTACTTCTACTTCTACTTCGCGTCTTCGTCTTCGTCTTCGTCGTATTCCACTTCGTTTCTTTTTCTTCTCCGTTTGCAACACGCGACTTACGCAAAAAAAAAGGTGACTCATAAAAGAAATAAAAGTATTTCGAAATTACCATCGATCCTTCTTCTTATATTTCTGACTTAGAATTAATTGAACCAAATATCCTAAATCTTGAATGATTATCCAGAAATATTTAGAATCAGTTTGATTTTCATAGAAGATTGTTTCTCAGAACAAGAAAATGAGAATGTATTCACAGTTTATGGCAACTTGCCTATCTATAAATCTTTAATTTATTTGAAAATTCAAGTTACGAATAAGTGATGAAAAATCTTAATGAGTCCTATCAAAATATGTATTTATTGATTTAAAATCATTAAAAATCTATGTATTGCATAAATTCATATAAAAGTTAAAGGAATGAAGATATGAAATGTCAGGTATTTATTATACAATTATCAAAATTAATTAAATATAGATATATGTAATAAACCTTTCGCACATAAACAAAAATTCTAAAATATGAGCAAGAAAAACATATAAACTTTTCCTCTCGTTTGATATTCAAACAAATGTGATGTTTAGTGTTCAAAATTAAATAAATTCGTGTCTAAATATTTCTTCTTTCAACCATTGGTACCTTACCCCGACTTTCGTTGTGTAAAAATTCTCTAAAGTAGGAAAAAAAAAAAAGAAAAAATATAAAAAAAGAAAAAGGTACTAACTTTCTCTCTTGTTTTAAAGACCTCGAGTAAAATATGAGAATGGAATGAACAAAAAGCCTTAAGAATAAGTAGCAGGGGTTCTTAAGTTTGTACTGTCTGAGG